CTGGTTCTTCCTCCCCAGGTGCATTACCTTGCACTTGTCAGTGTTGAAACCCATCCTGTTCTCATCCGCCCACCCTGTAACCTGTCCAGATCTAATTGCAGCCTATTCCTTCCTTCTAGCATGCCCACTTCACCCCACATCTTAGTGTCATCTGCAAATTTGAACAGGGTGCATTTTACCCCTTTGTCCAAGTCGCTGATGAAGATGGTGAACAGTGCGGGCCTGAGGACCGAGCCCTGGGGGACCCCACTGCCCACATCCCTCCAGGTCGAATAAGGCCCGTCCACCACCACTCTCTGGTTGCAGCCCTCCAGCCAACTAGTGACGCATCTGACTGTGTAGGCATCGACACCACAGCCTCCTGGTTTTTTAATGAGAATGGGGTGAGAGACCATGTTGAAGGCCTTCCTAAAGCCCAGAAAGACTATATCCATTGCAACACCTGCATCCAGGGATTTGGTGACCTGGTCATAGAAGGCCACCAGGTTGGTCTGACAGGACCTGCCTCTAATGAACCCATGTTGGTTGCCCCTAAGCATAGTCTCCCCTGCTGGCCCCTCGTGGACATGCGCCAGGATAATTTTCTCAAAAAGCTTCCCCAGGACCGAGGTAAAAGACTAAGACATGTGGCGCCATGCCCTGGGGCCGGCTGTGGGGGAGCCAGCCGGGCCCTTGCTGCCCCAAAACTCGTGGCCATATTTGCACTCCAGCAGCTCCTGTCACCGCCAGGAGACCAGGGGCAACCGGAGAAGGACCTGTCAGTTCCAGGGGGCAGCACAGGGTGCTCCCAGAGTCGCTGGGGGTGGCACAAGCCAGTGGGGACATGGAACAGGGTGTGAGAAGCGGGGGAGAAGGTGCATAAGTTACATCCCAGGCCTGAGGCTTGGGGCGGCAACAGCCCAGCTGCCCACCCCACCATGGGTGGCCATAGTGGGTGCCACCACCCTGGGCAGAAGCTCCAGCCCCTCCCGCCATGCAGGAGCCCAGCAGCCCACCGGCAGCTCATTCCCCGGCCCTGGGATGGGCGGGGAGGCTGTGCCAGGAGCTGGATCGGGCCCACGACTGCTTTTCTGCTTCGGATGCTCCTGCGGCCTCCCCAGGCTTCCTCCGCCTCAGGATTGGTCCCTATCCAGGTCATGCCCCACCTCAGCAGCCTCAGTTGGTGACCCGCGCTGCCCCTGGGGCTGGCCAGGAGCTTCCCAGGGGCCCCTGGGCTCCTCGCAGCTGCAGGAGCTTCCAAAGCAGAAAAGCAGCCACAGTTCCACTCTGGCTCCTGGCAAAGCCTCCCCACCTGTCCCAAGGCTTGGGGGCAAGCTGCCGGTGGGCCGCCAGGCCCCTGTGGGGTAGGGAGCCAGGCCTTCCCCCAAGGTGGCAGCCCACACCAGGGCTGCCTGTGCGGGGGTGCAGCTGGGCCGTTGCTTCCCCAAGCCTCAGGCACACAATGTAAATTCCACACAGAAGGCGGAAAGGTTTTGTTGCTAGAACACAACAGTAAGTGTGAATACACATTAGGCTGTATAAAAATAAAGTTTTAGTGGTACGATTTTAGTGTAGCTATAGAGGGCTACACCCTGCATAGAAGGGACCAGGTGGCCAAAAAAGGTGTTGGCTTTGCTCTCTATGTGAAAGAGGAGTACACTTCCTTGGAGGCCGACATTGGCTCCAGAAATGAACAGATTGAAACCCTCTAGGTTAAATTGCAGGAGGAGGGGAGGAGCGCAGCAAGAGAAACCTAACTGTAGGTGTATACTACAGACTAGGGGGAAGAACTCCATCTGGAGTTCAAACCAAGAATTGACTGAGGCTGCATGTGCACGTGACATGGTTGTCATGGGCAATTTTAATTATCGAAAAATCTCCTGCAACGAACGCTCAGCCAAGTTCATAGATTTACAGATGCTAGGGTCAGAAGGGACCTCAACAGATCATCGAGTATGACCCCCTGCCTAGGCAGGGATGACCCCAGCCAGATGCCTATCCAGCCTTCTCTTAAAGACCCCCAAGGTAGGGGAGAGCACCACTTCCCTTGGAAGCCCTTTCCAAATTTTGGCCACCCTTACCGCGAAGAAGTTTTTCCTGATATCTAGCTTAAATCTGCTCTCTGTCAGTTTGTGACCATTGTTCCTTGTTACCCCAAGAGGCGCCCTGGTGAACAGAGCATCTCCGATCCCTTGCTGCATTCCCCTAATGAATTTGTAAGCGACCACAAGATCACCTCTCAGCCTTCTCTTGCAGAGGCTGAAGAGCTCCAGGTCCCTCAGCCTCTCGTCATAGGGCTTGTCCTGTAAGCCCTTAACCATACAAGTGGCCCTCCTCTGGACCCTTTCGAGTCTATCAACATCCTTCTTGAAGTATGGCGCCCAAAACTGGATGCAGTACTCCAACTGTGGTGTGACCAATGGGGCGGGAAGTATCACCTCCTTGGATCTATTTGTCATGCATCTGCTGATGCATGATAAAGTGCGGTTAGGTTTGCTGATGATTTCGTCACAATGACAAGTCTTGTTCATCTTGGAGTCTACTATGACTCCAAGATCCCTTTCCACTTTTGTGCTGCTGAGAGGGTCACTTCCAAGCCAGTAGGTGTGCTGGATATTTTTGCGCCCTAGGGGCAGCACTCTGCACTTGTAAGTTGGATCGGTCATGATCCTTCCTGACCTGTGTCTAAGAGCTCCTCCTGATTCAGGAGGTGCATGGTCCAACCAGAAATGACACTCTGCTAGACTTGGTCCTGGCCAAAGGAGACGACCTGGAGACCAACTTAAATATAGAGAAGTCTGGGTGACAGCAACCATCATGAAACCGTCATGTTCACTATCTGACGTAAGGCAGACAAATCTGATAGCAGGATTGAAGTCTTGGACTTCAAAACTGCAAATTTCAGCAAGCTCAGGTCACTAGTAGGGGAAGTGCTCTGGGACCAGTGATCGAAGG